TAGTCTCCATTTATATGGTACCAGTACTACCACTATTGCTTACTTCATCTTATGTGACCCAATAACCAATTTAATTTTCAATTTAAGCCCAAATCATAAATTTGGTGAGAATATAGCAAAAACCAATGATTTAAATTATATTTTTCAAATTCTTCAATGTAACTGATTGCTTATTGATAACAAAGGGAAATTTGTTAAGTTTAACAATGTTTGCAAACATTAGTTTTAATAAGTCCATTTATTTCAAAACCATAGGGTAGATAGATTATGGCAAGTTTTTTTTTTTTTTTTTTTGAGACAGTCTCACTCTGTCACCCAGGCTGGAGTGCAGTGGCGCAATCTCAGGTCACCACAGCCTCCACCTCCCGGGTTCAAGTGTTCTCCTGCCTCAGCCTCCCCAGTAGTTGGGACTACAGGCATGCAACACCATGCCTGGCTAATTTTTAAATTTTTAGTAGAGACAGGCTTTCACTGTGTTGGCCAGGCTGGTCTTGAGCTCCTGACCTTGTGATCTGCCCACCTCTGCCTCCCAAAGTTCTGGGATTACAGGCGTGAGCCACTACGCCTGGCCAGAAACTGTTTAAAAAATAAAATGTTTGTTTGCTTGTAATGACATGAAATCAAGTTTCTTATCACTGTATGTTTAACAAGAAATCATTCCCTCATAGTTTCAAGGGGGAAAAAACACGTTTTAGTTGTGGCATTTGCTAGAACTATAATACTTCCAAATTTAAACACCTTTTGTATTTGAAGGTGTTTTATTACTATCCCAAATGAGTTAATAATCTGCTTTATCTAGTAAATTTCCTGTTTTTCTAAAAGTTAAATAATCTTGATTAGTCAATCCTCAGAACTATACCATTACAACACACACATTGAGACATATACTTTGCCGAAGGCTATTACCTTTCAAACTAAGTGTTCAGTTGCGTTTCATGATTTTTAAAAAAAGTAGATAAAAACATTACTTCCCAAGTACCTCTACTTTATAAGTGAAAAGAGACACAGAATTGCCTGTGTATATTTCTGTATTCTCACTCATATTCTTGAAACTTAACACCCAATATGGTTGACTGCTGTTGGGCAAGACCTAAGAATGATTGATAGAGAAACCATTTGATTTTCAAAAACATCCACTTCAGCAGGCTATTACGCAATTACATGTTCACAGTTAAATTTATAAGAGATTAAGGGAAACTAGTAATAGCTGAGGGCAGTTTATTTTCATGAAGATACCAGATGTCAGCAAAAACTTAGGCAGTGTCATGAATTTTGCACAAGAATGGTAAGCTATAAGCAGGGCAACCATAGCGGAGGTAGAAAACCTCTACCAAAATCCAGTCCAGATAAGACATCAGTTTTCTATACTGTGACTCAACGTGTAATCACCTTTTGGAGGTGGAAGGGGTATATGAGGCCAGTGGGATCTGATGTTTCAGGGCAGTCATAGCTCTTCTCAAGGACTGAAATGTTCTAGTTTTGTTTTTCTTTAAAATAGCCACCCACAAGACTATTTAACAAATCAGTCGACACTTTAGCCAACCTCAACTGAAAAAATAAAATGGTTTACAGAATATTTCATACTACCCAGGCACTCTAACACATGTTCAGGAATTCTGAACACGGATATTTGTGAGTACATGAATGCAGGTGTTTTTCTAGGAAGTTAGTTCATAGTCTTCATCACCTTCTCACAGGGGTCTTTAACTTCCAAAAAGTTAAGACCATAATAAAACTCACAATTATTTTCTTATTAATAAATCATTATGGGTATTTCAAAATTCATTTGCTAAAAATTACTTGCTTGAAACCATGCCAGGTAAGCAGTTTTAGAATAGACTGTCAGGTTGTAGAACAGCATGTTATATAGAACTAAACATAATATTTTAAAAATAGAAGAATCCTGTATATGTTACAAGGTAAATAGCTATTTCCATATTTGTAAAAAAGAAAAAAAATCATAACATTCAAATATATGCATGCATTTCTACCTTAATATTTGTGATCAAAATTGTGAGACCAACATTTGTGATTTAACTTCTCTACTAGCATCTATACACAAGAGAAACTGTTTATAAAACTTTGTTTTTTAGATTAATAGAATTCTAAAGTAACTTAGTCACTTGGAATATTTAGGCACAATATAAAGAGGCTCTAGATGATTTCATTTATATTGGTTATTTCTGTAATTTTATATTACAAAATAGTAAGTAGGCTAATTAATTTTTCCAAAACATAGCTTTATTACAGCTTTACTGTAAATCGGATATATCTTTCTCTGTACACATTTTGTATGCTCATTAAAAGTTTGGTTCCCTAAATGAGTAAGAACAAATATTGGCAAAATTGTTGAAGAATATTTTCCTTTCAAAAACTTATTACGTCTTTGAAAAAAACAGGTCTAAGAAATGCTGCAATATGGCAATTTTAAAGTCACTTATTCCATAACAAATATTCCTATTTTAAGTAAAAAACCTAAGATTTTAATTTGTCCCTATGAAAAGTCTAAGCGATGTCATACTTAGAAAAACTAAAAGATGGTAGAAACAATGATCTAATGACCCTGATGTTCAGATAAAACTGGAGTGTTTATATCCTCAATAACAAAAAATTTCCTTAGAGAAAAGAAATCTAGCATCTGACTTAAGTGAATAAAGGTGAAATAGTATTTTTGCCAGTGCTCAGGTAAATCACACAGAACAAGGAAGCTAACTGTACTTCTGATAACAGGTGAGTGAACAGGTGAATGTACAATCAAAACTTAAAAATGATATATAATTCCAAAGTTGAACATGCTGTTCCCTCAAACTAAAAGCAGTCATTTTAAAAACATAAAAACAAACAAACAAAAACCCTCTAATGGTCAATTCAAACTGGCTATATAAATTGAGTTTTAATGGCTACAAAATCTTTCAAATTGCTAAGAGCACAACTGATTAAACTGAAGGACTGTATTTAGGGTGGAAAAAAACCCCAAAACGTAGTTCAGTGGCAATGTCCTATGTGACAAAAAGCTTTTAGACAAAATGACAGCTGTCTTTAAAAAGGTGCAGAGATGATACCATTTCCCCATCTTCTAAACAGCATCCGAGCAAATTCCATCAAGATACAATCAATTTCCAAGTCATTTATTTATACTCTATATTAACCAGTGTTTCTCTTTTTCATCATCACTCCCTAAGTAGTCTTTTTATAATCCTAATCAACCACCTCCCCAATTTTGATACCAGGTATATTATCTGTTTATGTACAGTGTGTATATTCATGCTTTATAGATTTTTTTTGTCCCCCAGAACCATTTTGACAAGGAGCACGTTGTACAAACAATGAAAGGTTTATAGTATTAACATGTTTTTATTTGAATAAGTGGGGAGAAGAGAAATATATTTCAGCACTTAGATATGTAGATTATTTCCAAAATAGTTTGACATGCAACTAGTCAGTTCTGTCGAATCAGTTCTCCCTGAAGCAGGCATTGTTCCCAGGTGCAAACAGTCCTCATTGTGCATGGTATTATGGCACCATAAAAATGGCCATGCAAAACAATCTTAATAATCAATGGGGAAAATGTTCCATGACCTTTAAAATTCTGCTAAAATATTAACTTTTAAGATCATTTGTAAATGTAGGAAAAAAATGCAAAAAAAGTTTAAAACTATTTACGTAGTACATTGTAATTTAAAAATTAGAAATAGAATTAAACTGTTTTATTTCATTGTAGAAACTAAGTAGTTTGAATAGGGCTTGTCTTTTCTTCTGCCAAGTAACTTATGGTACTGAGTAAGCATCTTGTCTATTCATGGCAAACTGTCATACCACCTTTTTAAAGTTTGGGTCGTCTTCCCCCCTTTTATTGCTTGTGCTTTTGAAATATTTCTGTATTCACATTAAATATTCTTTAATGCAATTTTCCCTTCCTCTGGGACATTTTTTTTTCTTGTTGCCCAGGCTGGAGTGCAGTGGCGTGGTCTCAGCTCACTGCAATCTCTGCGTCGTAGGTTCAAGCAAATCTCCTGCCTCAGCCTCCTGAGTAGCTGGGATTAAAGGCATATGCCACTATGTCAAGCTAATTTTTTGTATTTTTAGAAGAGAAGGTGTTTCACCATGTTGGCCAGGCTGGTCTCCAACTCCTGACCTTGCGATTTGCCAACCTCAGCCTCCCAATTACATGGCCCATCTGTAATGCTTGGCACATGGATTATAGGTGTGAGCCACTGTGCCAGGACACATTTATCTTTATTGCAACCACTTTTCTTACATGTATTGATAAGTTTGCCTTCACTAAGCTCCTATGAATGCATAGCAGCAAGAACAACATTCCCATGATCAGTGACTTCTACAAATCCATTTATGTTTGATTCAAATTTCACTTCCAGTGTTACCATTTTTCATTGCTTTGCTGCACTTTGACCTTTGTTGGCTGATTGTTCCCTTCTATAAAATGTCAAGTGGATGACAAAAAGACAGCATAACTACGTGCTCTGCTGTGAGTGAACTGAGTAACAGATGCACAGGGACCAACCACTGGAAGAATTTCAAAGTAACATGACTGGTCACTGATCATGAAGCATATCTGCTATTTACACAGTGATTTGTAGACTGAAGAACTAGCAGAAAAGTTTGTACCTTATGTAATTATTCATAGTTATACTGTGCTAACTAAAATTTTAACTTAGATTTAAACATCACCAGTTTCCTTTCCTTCCTGGTAAGGAAACTGGTGTTGTTTAAATCTAGGTCATTGAAATTTGTGCCCATGGGAACCATGCAAAGTGAGAACTGCCTACACCCTACTTGTTTATACTGATCCAGACAGGCTTAACACTGACTACTGAGAAATAGCCTATCTAAATTTATATCAAATAGTGAATCTTAAAGCACCCAAGATGAAAAATTACTGCACATTGAGGTGGTTTCAAAATCTCTGTCGTTTGACAATCAAGGTTAACATGTATCTTAGAGTAACAGAATTTTAGAAATAAAGACCTTCAAAGGCCCCATAGTTTGATATCGCAGGTTATCCAGCATGTTTATTATGAATTATTTCTCCTCCTTCAATTTCAATTTGCTCATACAGCCACTTGCGGTCACAGCGGCATTCAGCTCCACATTTGGTAGAACCACAGGCAGGACAAGCATAGAAACATCCTAAGCAATCTTCATCGAGGCAGTCACAGAGGTCCATCCCACTAAAAATGAGGAGCCCCTGGCTATCATAGACCTTACTCTTCGCTGGTATCACCTGTCTGTAAATAAAACACAATGAATTACATCTCATAAATATGTAATTTTTTATTTAATTGAAAATACAGTACAAAAAAATTAAAGTAGATAAAATATTTTGAGATGAAGCCCTGCCAAAATGATCTATCATTTATCAGGTTCAAGGCTTATTCTATCATCAGCAGTAAATGAACTCCATGTGAGAAGAGAAGACGTAACTCCAGAGTGTTGAGACAAATCCAGAAAGTCTGATGGGCCTCCTCAAGTCCATTTAAAAGTCACCTGAGCAAAGGAATGAACAAGAGCTTTGTCCAATAAATAAGTATAATTTTCCCTTTACTTTAAACAAATGAAAAAGAATGATGGGTTAATAGTGGTTCATTTTATTGGCCACCAATCTCTTCACTGTTTTATTAACATAGTTTTATTTGTATTACAGTACGCTGCCCCTATAAGATTTTTACACTGCAATTAATGTTTCTTGTTCTTTAATGGACTCTAGTAAATTTGGCCTAAAAATATTTAAATGGCTCTATGGTAAACTTTAACAGATAGAATAAACGGCGTATACAGAAATGTTGACTGAACTTAAAAATAATTCTGAATGATTATGCTAACATTTGTTTTAAAGAGTCATTTATAAACAATTTAATTCTCCATTCATTCTGCTCACTACACAGAGCTGCATTTCTATTTCAGACATGTAAAAACTAAAAACCTTGCATTCTCATAAAATGTAATTACCTTTTAGCTGGCACCCATAGAACAGAGATATATGAATTACAGGCACACTTCAGAGGTATTGTGGGTTTGGTTCCAGACCACCACCAATAAAGTGAGTCACATTTTTTTTTGGCTTTTCCAGTGCATACAAAAGTTACTTACACTATAGAGTAGTCTATTAAATACGTAACAGCCTTATGTCTAAAAAAGAAAAAGTATATACTTTAATTTCAAAATACTCTATTGCTAAAAAATGCTATCAGTCATCTGAGCCTTCAATGAGTAGTAGTTATTTTTGCTGGTGGAGGATCTTGCCCCAAAGAGGAGAGCTGACTGATCAGGGTGGTAGTTGCTGAAGGCTGGGGTAGTTGCGGCAATTTCTTAAAATAAGACTACAGTAAGGTTTGCTTTATCAGTGGACTCTTCTTTTACAAAAGGTCTTTCTGTAGCATCTGATGGTGTCTGACAGCATTTTACCTACAGTAAAACGTTCAAAATTGGAGTCATCCTCTTAAATTCTGCTTCTGCTTTATCTACTAAGTTGATGTAATCTAAATCCTTTGTCATTTCATTAATGTGAACAGCATCCTTACCAGTAGATTCCACCTCAAGAATTCACTTTCTTTGCTCATCTAAGAAGAAACTCCTCATCCATTCACGTTTTATCACAAGATTGCAATAACTTAGTCACATCTCCAGGCTCCACTTCTAATTCTCGTTCTCTTGCTATTTCTACCACAATTACTTCCTCCACTGAAATCTTAAACCCCCTCAAAGTCATCCACAAAGATTGGAATCAACTTCTTCCAAAATCTTGGATGGTGAATCCTTTCCACAAGGTGTTCAATTTACTTTGCCCAAATCTATTGGAAGAATCACTGTCTATGGCAGCTCTGGCCTCACAAAATATATTTCTTAAATAACAAGACTTGAAAGTCAAAGTCCTTCTTGATCATAAGCTGCAGAATGAATGTCATGTTACCAGGCATGAAACATTTATCTCCTGGGACATCTCCATCAGAGCTCTTGAGAGATCAGGAACATTTTCAATGAGCAGCAATATTTTAAAAGGAATCCTTTTTTCTAGTCAGGAGGTCTCTCAAGTGGGCTTAAAATATTCAGTGAACCATGCTGTAAACAGATATGCTGCCATCCAGATTTTGCTGTTCCATTTATACAACACAGGTAGAGTACATTTAGCATCATTAGGATTCTAGGTAATTTCTGAAGAGGTAAATAATTGGCTTCGACTTAAAGTCACCAGCTGCATTAGTTCCTACCAAGAGAGTAGGCCTGTCCTTCAAGGACTTGAAGCCAGTTGTAGACTTTCACTGTCTAGCTATGAAAGACAGCATCTTCTTCCATTAGAAGGCTGTTTGCTGGTCTGTAATCCCAGCACTTTGAGAGGCCGATGCAAGCAGATCATGAAGTCAGGAGATGGAGACCATCCTGGCTAACTGATGAAACTCTGTCTCTACTAAAAAGACAAAAAGTTAGCCGGGTATGGTGGCACATGCCTGTAGTCCCAGCCACTCAGGAGGCTAAGGCAGAACAATCACTTGAACCCAGGAGGTGGAGGTTGCAGTGAGCTGAGATCGTGCCATCACTGCACTCCAGCCTGGGCAACAGAGCAAGACTGTCTCAAAAAAAAAAAAAAAAAAAAGGCAGCTGTTTGTCTACACTGAAAATCTGTTGGGTAGTGTAGCCAGCCACCTTCATCAATTACCTTAGCTAGACCTTCCTGATAACTTGCTGCTTCACCTTGCATTTTTATGTTATAGAGATGGCTTCTTTCCTTGCCCTCCTCATAAATGAACCTCTGCTAGTTCCAAACTTTTCTTCTGAAGCTCCTTCACTTCTTTCAGCCTTTAGAGAACTAAAGAGGATTAGAACCTTGCTTTGGATTAGGCTTTCGCTTAAAAGGGAATGTGTTATAGCTGGTTTGGTCATCTATCCAGACCATTTAAATATTAGCAATAAAGCTGTCTTGCTTTCTTATCATTTGTGTTCACTGGAATAGCACTTTTAATTTCCTTCCTGAACGTTTTCTTTGCATTCACAACTAACCGTTTAGTGCAAGAGACTCTGCTTTCGGCCTGTCTCAGCTTTTGACATGCCTTCCTCCCAAGCTTAATCATTTCTAGCTTATTTTAAAAAATGAGACACTTGACTCGTCATTTCACTTGAACACTTAGAAGCCATTGCAGGGTTATTAGTTGGACTAATTTCAATATATTTGTTTCTCAGGAAATAGGGACACCAGAGAAGAGGGAGAGAGTCTAGGGGAACAGCCAGTAGGTGGAGCAGTAACAACACACACAGCGTTTATCAACTAAGTTCACCACCTTACATCGGTGTGGTTCCTAGCGACTCAAAACTATAATAGTAATGCCAAAGATCATCATAACAGATATAGTAATGAAACAGCTGGAAATATTTCAAGAATTATCAAAATGTGACAGAGATAGAGAGTACATGCTGTTAGAAAAATGACACCAGTAGACTTGCTTACCGGAGTTGCCATAAACTTTCAATTTGTGGAAG